GGGGGGAGAGAGAGAGAGAGAGAGAGAGAGAGAGAGAGAGAGAGAGAGAGAGAGAGAGAGAGAGAGAGAGGGGCGCTGGAGCGTTTCTATCATTTCCCTCCATTTCATCCTCTTTCCGTGACCATCTGAGTGATATAGCGATGAATTGTGACCACGTCTGAGTCCAGGTGAACCCGTTTGCTTTCCAAAACAAAAGATTGAATTTTGTTTGACAACTCCATCGATCAATATGTCGTTATGCAAAGGACGTGGAGCTCCCTTTTTTTATTTTTTGGTTAAAGCAAGCTAATAAGAGGAGCGGAAAGGATTGCATTAGCTTTAGTTTTGGAAAAGCCTGCAAGCATGGGATTAAAAAAAAAAAAAAAAAAAAAGAAGGGGGAAAGGATTGATCTGTTCATGGATGGATGGATAGCTCGGTTGATTGATTGATTGATTGATTGATTGATTGATTGATTAGTTGATTAGTTTTTTTTTTTTTTTTTTGAATGGTTGATTGAAAGATATGAGGGAGTAATTGGTTTGAATAGATGATTGATACGACGGAGTGGATGGTTTGATTGAATGATTGCGTGATTGAACAAGCTCCTTGATTGAATGATAATTGCTTCCTTGCTTGTTTGAGTGATTGATTGGGTGATTGATCTGATTCGCTTCTGAATTATTAAATAGTTCCTTTGATTGCTTGCTTGTTTGCTTGTTTCATAGATCGTCAGTGATGACTGCTTGATGGATCGATCATCAATGGCAATTGCATGTTTGATTGATTGGTCGAGTGTGTGGTTGCTCGATTGCTTGATTGTTTGGTCGCTTGATTGGTTGATTGAATAGATTGATAGATTGGCAATGATTACTGATCGATGGTTACTGCATGATTGCTTGAATGCTCGATTATCAATGCCTATTGCTTGATTGCTTGTTTGCTTGATTGCTTGATTACTTGATTGCTTGATTGCTTGATTACTTGATCTTATTGCTTGATTGCTTGGTTGTTTGGTTGCTCGATTGGTTGATTGTTTGCTCGATTGGTTGATTGTTTGCTCGATTGGTTGATTGGTTGCTCGATTGGTGGTGGATTAGTTGATTGTTGGATTGCTGGGTTGCTGGATTGATAGATCAGCAATGATTATTGCATGATTGCTGGATTGATAGACTGGCAATGATTATTGCATGACTGCTTGATCGATAGACCAGCAATGACGAGTGCATGATTGCTTGATTGATTGATCGTCAATGATTATCGCTTGATTGCTTGAATGATCGATCATCAGCGCTCATTGCATGCTTGCTAGATTGATAGATTGGCAATGATTATTGCATGCTTGCTGGATTGATTGATCGTCAACGATCATTGAAGGATTGCTTGATCGTCAACGATCATTGAAGGATTGCTTGATCGTGAACATGTTGCATGTTCGGGTGATTGCTTGATTGATTGATTGGTTGTCAATGATAATCGCATGATTGCTTGATTGCTTGCTAGGTCACATGGCGCCATGACTAACTTTTTGAGATCGGCTCCCCTCTTGCCTTCTTTTTGCAGACTTGATTGCAACTGCCATCCTCATCCTCGTCACTGTCATTGTGCTGCCATAGCTGTCGAACTTGGTGGCCTCTTCTGCATTTCGATTCTACTCCTGCTTGGGGAAGCATCTCATACGCTATCATGGAAGAACCGGCATGCTTTGTTCTGCACAAGCCGGCGCCCAAGGATACCGGAGGAGGAGCAGGGGGGGGAGGCGGAGGAGGTGGAGGTTCAAGTGGGCGGGAGAAATCCGAGACGAGCAGCAGGGCACAGAGATATGCGGCAAAGAACAGGGGACGGATGGCAGGGACGGGTGTGCACGGATTGTCGGGCTCAGATGATGACGTGTCAGGTGGGGAAGGACTGCCGCCGTGCTTCGCTGGCGAGCCTGCGTCCTGCCGTCGCCTTCGACTTCAGGCCTATAAAGAGCTGTGGTGCTCTGTCGAAGGCAGGATTAAGGACATCATCACTCGTTCGAACGAAGATTCGTTTAAGCTAATGTACCGGTGGATCAAGGACACACATGGCGAGGATGTCCATGCGTCCGGGTTTGTTGATGACATCAACGTGTCAGGCTCGGATGGAGACGTCGACGGGGAGGAGAGCGCTCGATCGCCTGATTATTACAGCATGAGTCTGGCTCATCAGCTTCCCACCGCCCTGCTGTTCATGGGGGGAATCGATTCCTGTGACCATTCTACGACATTTGCGGCGTTATCTCGTTATCTGGATGGCAAGTGCCACGTGGCGTGCCTGAAGCCGTCCAACTTCAACAGCGCCAACAGCATAACCCCAGCTGTAGAGTCCATGCTGAAACAGTTTACTGGCATCACGCCTGAGACGACCGACATTGAGATACTCGCGTCCTGGTACTTTGAGCGCTCGATAGTCAATCAACACCCTCTGGTGATCATAATTGAAGATGCGGAGCGGTGCGACAGCGCGATCCTTCAGCACCTTGTCATGATCCTAAGCGATTGGCGGGCGGACCTGCCCATCTTCCTGGTGCTGGGAATGTCCACCTCAGCAGCGGCGTTGAGGCGTATTCTTCCTGCCGCGGCCATCGCCCGCCTGCGACCGCAGCGCTTCGCGGTGAAATTGTCGCAGCATCACTTGGCGTCTGTTTTCCGCGAGGTCCTCTTGGACGCTAAAACCAGCTGTGGCATAGTTCTGGCGGATAAAGTTGTGGACTTTCTGTATGGGGTATTCCTCCGTCAAGAATTGACTGTGACCTCCGTGCTCAGAGGGCTGCAGATGGCGTACCTGGAGCATTTCTCGAGTCAGCCACTGAGTTTTCTGTGTAGGGAGCTCATGAAGGCGACATCGGAGGTGCGCATGGTGCAAGAGTGTGGGATGCTGCCGCGTCAGCTCCTCGAAATTGCAGCGAAGCTTCCCTCCGCCGTACGGGAAATGAAAGATGCAGCCGTCGGTCGTAATAATAACCAAGAGGCGGTGAGCGATCGTCTAGGAAAAGCGCTGTGGGCGTCGAGGGAGGCGTGGAGGAAGTGGGCCGTAGGAGTGACGTGTCTCCACGTGGCCGCATCCATGGCGGGGGTTCTCTCTGGAGGATCCATCTGTGAGCTATATCGGGATGCATTGGGATCCCAGTTCATGTCTGTGGGATTGCCCGGACAGCTCCCAGCTGCAGCTGCCCCTTCCTCATCCAATCCACTTGCTGCTCTGCGCTCCGACAGATTGGTGTCTGGCTTTGATGACACATCATCATCACCGTGGTACTGCGGTAATGATGCTGACGCAGTCAAGTGTGGACCTGGTGTAACGCTCATTCGCGCCATTTCCAACCGCCTCAGGGAGGCATCTTCTTCCACCATGGAGGATTTGCTTGCCACTCTGGAAGATCTCATGCATGGCTTCCCTGAGTTCCAACATGACTTGCAGGTGCTTAGACGCCTCATGAAGGACAGCAGCCAACAACAACAACAACAACAACAACAACCGCAACAGCCGCAACAACCTCAACAACAACAACAACAACAACGAGTTGAAGAAAGGTCTCCGCCGCAGCTGCGAGCGGAAGCAGCAGCAGCAGCACACTTGTCAGGATCGGGGGGGTCTGGGGATGGCAGCATAGAGCAGAAGGCTTCAGGAGGAGCGACTCAGGCGGTGGCCGCTGCTGTGGGCCTGAGATCGAGCACAGCTGGGGGGTTGACTGAGGGTAAGCTTGCTGGCGGCGTATCCGGTAACCCAGCAGCAGCAGCAGCAGCAGCGGGAGGAGGAGGGGGGGGTAATCAGCAGCAAGAGGAAAGTGATAATGCGGCAGCGGCGACAGAACGTGAAGATGCGGGGAAACCTGGATTGGCAGGGGGTGGGATATCAGAGTCAGCCGCTATGGCGCAGAGGGGGATGAGTGCAGCCATGCGTAGGAGAATGGCCCTTCAGGCCCCGCGCCAGGTTAGGACGCAGGTCACGATAACTGCTGAGAAGGTGTCGACAGTTCTGCGAAGGATTGCGAACGAATTGATAACTTCGTTCGAGTTGTTACCGTTCCACGAAGTGTTTTGCTTTTCCGATGTGTCTGTTCTTGAGGAAGCCATATCCGCGACACCTCGGGCTAGCATTCAACACGATCTTGTGGCGGCGTCTGCACGACTTAAGTGCGAATGCTGTACGAATGACGGGTCGATATCGTCCACGATGCACGATACGTCCATAGCGTTCTGTTTGTATAGGCACAGCGACGAGTACATCAACATTCACGACTGGTACAAGTCGTTTGAGGGGATATACGCAGCGCCTCCGTCGACGCCGCCGAGGGCGCGGGAAGCAGCGCAATCGGCAACCAAGAGGGGCGCTGGGAGGCCAAGGAAGAGGTCAAGGGAGGAGGAAGAGGCGGGGCGGCAAACTGTAGATAGAGAAAAGGGAAAAGAGAGAGACGCCGATGGCTGCAGCGAGGATGAACGTAAGAAGAAGTCCATCAGCAGTTCACAGGATGCTGCAGCTCTACAGGCCCGGTTTGTTCGGGCGACGTCTGAGTTACAGGTTCTGGGCCTGGTTCGAGTGCCCGGAAAGCGACGGCCGGATCATGTGCAGCGTGTAGCATACGGCGGCTGATGTAACTCCTCTCTTTTCTTCTTTCTCTTTTTTCTTCTTCTTTCTTTCTTTCTTTTTAATAACTTTTTTACAATGGCGGCAGCCGATGTAACACTGTGGTCAATTTGATGCTAGTTACGAGGAGGAGAAGGAGGAGGAGGAGGAGGAGGAGGATATTCTCGCGCTTACCAGGACTTCAGCGGATATATTTGACCCTGCACTTAACTGCCAGTTTCAGTCTAAGTGCATCTGCCCCTAGGATATATGCTCATCCTTTGCTTCGTTCTGTTTATATGCTCATCCTTTGCTTCGTTCTGTTTATTGAAAGGGGTGATGCCTTGCAATGCAACAGTTTTCAGTTGTTAAGGTCTCTTCAGGTCGAGAGGCGCTGGCAAGGAGAAAGGAGATGAGAGAGAGGGGGGAAAATCCGAAAAAGGCAGGCCCTGTTCTTAAGGGAATGCTAGCCAGTAAGTCATTTCGATCCTTTTTTTTTTTTTTTTTTTTTTTTTTGCCAGTTAGTCTTTTAGATAGATTTTAAGTTTTGACCCTTGAATACCATCCGGCAAAACTAGCAGCCGACAGGATTTTTTTTTTTTTTTCCAACTTTTTTTTTCCCCAGGAGAAGTGAGATTCTTTTTCCTGTCGTTTTGTTAGCGATAGTGCAGGTTATTTGAGGAGGGGTAAGAATATCGAGCAAGGGCTGAGAGAATGGCGAGCAGAAAGAGAGGCAGGCCAAGCAGGTGGATTTTTTTTTTTTTTTCTGGTTTTGAATAAGGTACTTCAGTGGTTGCTTGCCGATTGAAAGTGTTGTCCATTGAGGAGGGAGGGCATGCAGCAGCGGGCAGATTGCTGCTCCTTGCCAGTGGGGAGAATGCCAGGCAGAGATCTGACTCACGTGGGGAATAATCAGGGAAACTGAGATGTCCAAAAATGTAAAGTTGACGAGATGGGGACTCTGTGTGTGTGCTGTCTCTTATACACATCTAG